TGTTCAGAACGACGACGTATTTTTTCCTTCATTTCCTGAGGTAATGACTCAAAAAATTATAGGAGGTCTCCTTGCTTTGCGCTTTGCTCGTCTCCTTTAAACGAGCATGTGCAGAATATAACCACTGCTCCACCTTACGTGATGATTGCTACAGCACTGAGCATGAGCACGGGTATAAAAGGGGGGTGGGCTGCCCAGTCAATTAAAAATGGCGGGTGGCTTTAGAATGTAATTAAAAATGGGCAGTGAAGAATCACAGAATGCAAGCACCACAGGCATCCACAAGATCTAAAAAAGACTCTTAGAAGAGTACAGACAGTTTTACTAACTCCCTATACCAGCAGAAGACTCAAAAGAGCCATGCATCATGCAGCTTTAACTAAAACTATATAATTAAACATGGCTGTCAACAGACCAAAGCTATCTAGCTTGTTTTTAGATAGCAAGGATTGCTAAAGGCACCTTTCTCTTCGGCAGACTCAAACTCGATGTTAAAAGTCATCCTGAATGAGTCCTTGATCGTCCTGAAGCTCGGCCTGTTTCACTATGACTCGCTATAAACAACTTAACCGTGATTTAGTCAGAAGATAAGAACAAGAAACATGTGGAAATAAGAGGCCAGGCAATTGTAGCCTCTTCCTTTTACTGTTACTATGTAAATCAACTGATGTTATCAAGATCTTTATCATGTGTAATCTCCATTTTGAATATTTGCTTCCATTTTTGGGCAGACCACCCCCCCTTTTATACTGCGCATGCTCGTTTAAGATCAGCTCCGGATTCAGCCATTTTATCTCACTCTGATTACTTATTAGATTCATCATAGATACAGTATACATAGATGTTGTATACTGTATTTATGGATTTATCTAATGACAGGATTCATAGACTGTCATTGCTACGCCTAGGCTTAGCTTTAGGCTATTATTTTGCCATTGGGGATTTGGGGTCAATGGGGTGGGTGTAGCTCAAAGAAGGAGGCAACCTTGAGTCTTGAGACAAATTAGAGAAGCATACAATCATGGCAGACTGTGAAGGTCAACGAATTACTATCTGTGTGACGGGTACAAAAGGTTCTGGCAAGTCCACTTTGATAAAATCTCTACTAGAGGGACAGGCTAAAATCATTAGCACGGGAGATGTAATTGCTACAGCCCTTGCCACAGCTTCAGTCAAGTATGAAGGAAAGTTTTGGGGCATTCCAGCATCATTTTACAATATAAGAGCTCCGAGCAATATTGTTTCAAATAAATTACTCGTCAAAAATGTTGAGGCTCTTAATTTATTTGATACTTCCACCCTTGTGCTCTTTTGCGTCAAAATGTCCAACAGGCCTTGCAATGACGAAATTGAGGAGGAAATAGAAATCAGCATAAAGTGGTTGAACAAACATCTTGGTCAAGAACAAACCTTGCATATATTGAGAAAAACTATATTTGTATTGACATTTGCTGATGCTGAAGGTTTTATTACGTTACCTGGGAGCTCAAGATCAGTCGCTACAAATGTAACCATCTTAATGACAAAATGTATGACAAAACGTATGATGGAATGTAGCTTTTGTTTTGAGGATTGTCTTAAAAAGCAAGACATACCAAATGAGATCATAAACAAAATGCCAGTCTGTGCTGCCGGTAAAGGGTCAGAAGTCAAATTACCACTTACCGAGACTAGCAATACTATCGAAATATTATCGATACAACCGATACTGGGCTGGTATCAAGTATCGATATCAGCAATACCAGAATGGAGAATACTCAGTATCGTATTGATTCCAAAAAATACAGTATCGCCCACCTCTAATCTAAACAACTAGCCAAATTGAGCCAACCCACAGTACCACACCCTCTGAGCAATTAAGCTAATAATAATTATTTTGCATCTGGGTTACAATCTTTGTTAGATCGATATCATTATAGATGTGTATTAAAGTATCTATGATATCATATATAGATATACTATCTATGTGTACAATAAAACATCACCTTTCTTTGCTAATAATGATTTCAATGCTTTCTCTCTCATTCTCATCTCAAGTACTTCACTATTATTCAAACTATCACTACTAATATCACCAGTTCCTTCTCCTCTCTTGACCTCTTGAGGATAAATTCCCTTCTTCACATTCTGATGATGATCTGTTCCTTCAGGTTGAAGTAATGGCCTCTCTTGTAGTCTCTTGACTTGGTTCTCAAGAAGTCTCTTACGTATTTTCATTTCTAAAAGCTTCTGCTGTTCAGATACATCTTTTGACCATCCATCATCATCATCATCATCATCATCATTGCAGTCTTCATCAACTTCTTCCATTTTCTCTCTTTCGCTATCTATTATAATTTTGCTCAAATGAATATCGTCATTTTTGGCGTCCGTACTTATTCCAATTAATACCCGGTCCTCGTCTAAAGATTGTTCCTTTTCGTACTCAATCACTTGGTCACATGACTGATCATGTGACACTTGAGTTTTGTATTCCTCGTCACTCACGTCACTGATGTGGATTGACGGAGGTGAGAGGGGTGGAGACTGGGCGTGGTCATAACGAGGGGATATCTCTCCCTCCTCTACCTCTGATAATGATTGATCTTGAGCTGATGATGTAGTAAAAGTATCTTGCTTGCTTCTCTCTTCGGCTTCAATGTCTCCCTCTCTCTCCTCTTCCTCTTTCTCCTCGTCTTCTCTGTCTCTCTCTTCCTTTTCTTTCCCTTCTTCTTGTGTGTCAGTTATGATGGATAGAAGTTGATCGTTGTCTAGTTTTTCCAGTTCCTTTAGGCAGAGTTCTTTGATCTTTTTCATTTTGAGACCCTACGAGAAGATGAGAAGGGATTCAACACTGTCTTAATTAAGAAAAATACCCTGTACTATAGCCCATGGTTTTTGCCGAAAAATGGCTCCAAAATCACTCCCAATTTTTATTACATTTTCTGATACATATTAATGTACTTATGCTATGTAGAAAGTTTGAGCTGATTCCGACTTAAATTTTTCGAGTTATGACTGCTTTCTAAAATCGGTCAATTTTTAAAATCCCTATACATGTACATGTATTTGTAGTACATCTAATTGCAATTCTCCTTGTGCATTTCAAGGAGAACTCAACATATTTATTAAATTTATTGCATCAAAATAAAATTTAAAAAAACAGTCATATTACTAATTTCAAAGCCGCCAAGTGTATTTTAACAAAAAACTTCATTAATAGTATTATAATACAGTAATGTAATGTAACAACACCTTTAATATATCGGGTAACAATCCGTGAATGTCCTGTTGCGTTAATATAGTGAAGAGTTGATCTAAAAGTGAGAGTCGATCATCAAAATATGCATCCAGACCACGTGGAATGGACAGACTCCCCGCCTGGACCAGTTTAGCTAGCTGCATCAAACTCTTGCTGCTACTACTACTACTGCTTGAGGTTGTGACGGTCTCTGATTTGCTCTCTTTGTCTCTTTTGTGAGTTTTCCTGTTGGAGGAGGATGTGATTTTTCTTAGTCTGTATCTATCATTTGCATTTACTTTTTCTTGCTGCTTTCATTTCTTTTGCTTTCCCTTTTCCTTTTTCCTAGTGTCTGATTTTCTGCCATTTTATTAATTGACCAGCCTTAACCACGCCCACAAATGATTTTTAAAAATTAAAATAAACATCTCTCAGTCTACAGCTCTGAGCCGAGCTCTGAGCTCCATTTGATGGCTACAGATACTTTTACCATAGGTACTTCCAGAACTGATAGCTCTAATTCCACCACCGTTCACATATTTTTATATGGCAAGGACTTGTCCTTCTTCGCACTTGCTCGAGAAAGTGACGGTAGATTCGAGGCTAGATACAACTTCAGTCTAAGCGAGGAGCAGTTACCTGCCATTCGTTTGGCCTTTAGAGGTCTCGGTATTGTACTAAAGGATCAGGATACCAAGACACATAACAGATTCGCATTGCCTAACTCTCCACCGATTTACAAGTTGTCAGTGAGAGAGAGCTTGACATTCCCATTGATTTATGTCCTGCTAGAGAGAGTAGGGTATCCTGTTGAATCTGAATCATATTGGACGTCTCCTCCTAGCGAAGCCGATGTAGCATTACTTTACTTTGAGTATCCCAATTTTGATATGCTACTGGTCCTGGGTAGTATTTTGAGATTAATGACTGATGAGGAATCCTCTCGATTGAAGGCAACTATGATTGAAACTGAGGAAATGAGAGAGATAGGAATTTTCAGTGACAAACCCTGGCTATATTCTAACGTTACATGTTGGGATATGATACAATTCAAGTACGACACGGGAGAGTTACGTCCTAGTAATTTAGACATTTTTTTGGAATGGCTTGAACATTCAGAGTGCCCATCGTATCGAAGATACATTGACGAGCTCCGTAAGAGGTGTGATAAAGTTTCTGCCGATGTCAAGCAGAGGGAATTGCACAGGGCAATAGAGAAAGGTATGGAAGAAGGATATGTTTTCCTTAAAATTATCAAGATGGTTATATGTGGTCCTCCTTGTGTTGGTAAGACGGCATTCAAGGATCTCTTGCTAGATAAGTCAGCTCCTCGAAAACACGACAGCACACCCATAGCTGCTCGCCCTATACAAACCATTGAGAGAATAGCTGCTGGAGGCAAAGTGTGGAAAGAAATTACTGAAGAAGATCTACTTCAATTGCTTACAGATATCATACGCAATACTGAGACGAACCGTCCCAATTTAAAGTCATTTCTTTCATTTGTGATAGTGGATTTACCATCTGAAGCAGGCGAATCTCAGACCATAGCTTCTACTACTAATGATAATATTGCCCTTATGTCACAAAGATCCCCTCAGCCTACCACATCAAAAGCTTTATCAAAACATCAGCCATTGATATCATCTACTGCAAATAGTAATGAAGATTCACTTTTATATGATGGAGCTGATTCACTTTCTTTATCAAGTAATGATTCGCTTTCAATTGATGATGAAGATGATAAGTCTATTTCTCTGCCGCATTTAGATTTTGATATTCTTTCTGAAGATTTCATCAAGCATTTTTCATCACCTACATGTAAAAGAAAAAGAGGCTCACAAATGTTGCATGAAGCTTCATGGATCTATCTTTTAGACAGTGGAGGCCAGCCTCAGTTTACTGATCTCCTTCGTATGTTTGTACGTGGTAATTCACTGTACATCATTGTAATGAAGGTGACCGAATCCCTTCATGACAAACCTACATTCGTTTACTCTATCAATGGTAAAGCACTCAACACGCCAAAAGAAATGACCATGACTAACCTTCAGATTATTGAGAGGTTTGTTCGTTCTGTTGCAGCAACTTCAAGAAGTCAAATAGGAGATAAGAGTGAGCCAGCATTTGCCATTATAGCCACTCATTGTGACCGGTCAAAATTTAAAAGATTCTTGGGCTTAGAAGAAAGAATCAGAGAAAAGAACGAGACTCTTCTGTCTTGTTTAAAGGAGTTTCTTGATCTATTTGTATTCTATAATCGTGATTCTAATGAGCTCATTTTTCCAGTTAACAATCTTTGCGAATGGTATCGGGAAAAAATCTCTGCTGATATTCGCCATCGTCTTGTATCGTCCCGATCTGGTATCAGAGGCAATATCTGCATACCAGTACGCTGGTATGTATTTGATTTACATATGAAGGAAGAGGCTTTGAAACAGACCCATGGAATGATCTCTCTTGAGTCCTGCTATAACATTGGTCGGAAATTAGGCATGAAAAAAGCCAATGTTGATGAGTGTCTCATTTATTTGGATTCAATGAGGTTATGTATCTATTATCCTAATCATCTTCCTCATGTGATCTTCACTAATCCTCAGTTTCTGATAAAGTGTCTTTCTGATATCGTACGTGTGTCCTTTGTTGATGATTTAAAGCAGATACTACCAGAAGGAGTTAGCCTATCTAACGAATCTATAGAATCTCTTAGAAAATATGGAATTTTTGACGAATCTGTTCTTGATAATCTTGGATTGACTTTTATTCCCGATTTATTCTCAAAAGAAGATCTCATATCGCTCCTCCTACACTTTCATGTCATCTCTGCCATCAAGAACACTCGCCAATACTTCATTCCTATTCTCCTTCCGACCGAGCATCTTTCTAAGGAACAGAAGGCACAATTTAGCAGAAATATCGATCCGCTTCTCATCACATTTAACAAAAATGTAGTTTTGCAGGTAAGTCACTGCACATTTGTATACATGTATATCTTACTTATCATCATAATTATTCATTATTTTATTTTACTATTACAGGGCTTTTTCCCAACATTGATAGTAACTTTGCTAAGTCGGGATGAGAGGCCATTCTTTGTCATTGACAGTCTCTCTAGAAACTTTCCCAAGCAGCTCCGTCATGCAGTTCGGCTCTACTCAGAGAATCTCTTTGGATCGGTGTTCTTTTGTGAAGACTATGATTCCATTGAAGTTTATTTCACCGGCCCCACTCAACATTGCCACCTTCTTCGTAGTGTGATCTTAGATGCCCTTTCATCCTCTGCTGACATATTAGAATATGATAAGACTAAATTGAAGATATCTGCTCTTGTCCACTGCAAACAAAATCACGTTTTTCTTCCCGAATATAACACCATACCTCACTCCATTACCTTTTCAGACAAGCAGAATCCTCCAATGATTGGTTGCAGTGTTGAAGATTTACCTGTTACAGAACTAACTGATGCAAGACAGAGTTGCTGGCTAATAGGTAAAGTTTGACATGCTGTAATTGATCAGATGAGTTTACGCTTGATTTTTTAATACAGATCCGTATGGAGGTATTTCAACTGCTTCAATAACGCACAGTAATCCTTCACTGCCTAGAGGAACTATACTGAGTGAGTTATGCAATATACATGTACTCTATGTCATAATGTCATTATTGTATTTGATACTATATTTGATATTGCTATTATACTACATGTAGCTCTGTTTTAGTCAGAGAAGTAGACCTAATGCATGTGGACCTACATGTACATGTACATCGCAAAAGACTGAAGGCATCACTATAATTACCGTATAGCGGTTTTTTTTCAAGGATAATAAATTTCGCGAATGGCCCCTATCCGAAAGTTTGCGAAATTAATTTTTGCGAATTTCCACTAATCTGCCATCTTGTACCGTATTAAATTGATTTTCAAGGAATTTAATTTTGCGAATCAAGAAAAAATCCGCGAAATTTGCAAAAATTTGTTATCCTTGAAAATTTCCCGCTATACGGTATTTTTGCTAATTCCTGTCATTTCACACTATAGATGAGTCCCATGCTCCTGTGATACTAAAGGCTATTAAACAAATAGTACATGATTGGGAGGTCCTAGGGATCTACTTAGGTCTTGAGCAATGGGAACTGGAGGAAATCAAAGAGAGAAACAAGCATCATCACGCAACTGCAGTTTATCGTAAGGATATGATTATTTTATGGCTAGGGAAGAGAAGGGCCACACGTGAAGCTCTGATAAGAGCATTAGAAGTCCTTGAAAGAGGCGATGTGGCTCACATTGTGAGGAATTTACCATAAGTTTAAAATTGTGTATGTATTTTTTTTATATTGACACTTATTGTTGTTTGTGCATTGTTACAAATATTGTTTTTAAAGTTAAATTGCTCTTAAATTATTATCATTTTTTATTATAATCAAAGAATTAATTTTGAACATCTACAAAAACAATGAGAAACATTATGCAGTAAATGCTTTGGTTATTGCCCTATGAGATTCTACAGAAAATTCCTTCAATTTCGTCAAAACCTGATCCCCCAAAGGCTGTGGAATACCAGCATTATCTCCATAAACCTTTGTATACTTATCAATGATGTTCATTTTTTGAGTATCAAAAACATCAACAGCTACTTTATCTTCAAAGACCGACATTGCTTTCCCTTTGATTCCTTTTGAACGACACAAAGCAAAAGCAAGTTGCACCTCATCAACCTCCCCCACTGACTCAAAAGGAGTTTGATCAGCTAAACCAAGCAACTCAATAAAGAAGGTTTGATTCTCTTCAACGTCAAGTAGATTCTTTTCGCCAAAAGTAGCATGTACTGTAGCTTGAGGTAGATAAGCCGAATAGCCTAGCCAGACGTAGCAGCATTTGGGACAACGAAGGCACCATGGCTTACGTAGGTTACACGAATGAGTGAATGGAACAGCACCAATGTACCGAGTAAGAGACTGAAATATCAGTGTATCGTGTATAGGCATTAGGAAACTAAAATAAGAAATGTTACTGATCAGATTCTGTTTGATATAAGAGTTAAGTATGGATTGCGCTTCAATGGTCTTCACCCATTTATGATTAATGTACTCATCATTGACACTCCACAGTAGATTACCTTTATCTGAACAGCGTTCATGCCCTAAAATAAGTTGAGTATAGCCGTACTTGAGAGCTATTGGCAGGGCTTCAAATAAAGCGCTGAAAGTTTCTGATGATTTCACTGATTTTACGTCAGTGTTTGGTATCGATTCTGGAATCGGAGAACTCAAAAACTCATCTAATACAGTGAGGTGGTGGTGAGATTTCGTGCTGCAGTGTTTAACAAGATCATCTATGAGTTGATGCTGATGACTGGCCTGGCCATACAATGAATGTGAATAGCCCAGTGAGGAGTAAGACTCTTCGATTTCTTCTAATAATTTCATTGATACAAGACTGTCTTTTCCACCGCCACAAAAAGCCAAAGACTTTGGCATAGAATCTGTTTTATTTGCAATCACAGCAGTAGAAGGAGATTCTGGAGCAGTAGAAGGAGACTCTGGAGCAATAGTAGCATCTCTTTTACAAAATTGAGGCCCACTCCAATCAGGAAGATTGTTCAAGTATCTCCACTCACCAAATGATTTTATTGTTAGCAATCTCCAGACTCTTTCCAGCTCTTCTGTCATGTAGCAAGACCACTTGCCGAGCTCTAGGTATTTCAGTGATGGTGCTAAAGTGCAGAGTTTATTCATCTCGAACAAGGCGCAGTGAAAGTAGAGTTTCTCCATGAGATAAGTTCCGTAGATAACATCAAGCTCTTCCAGCGAGAAGTCATACCAAATGGACGTGGAGAAACGCAGCCCGCCTGAGAAACGGAACAACAGGCTCAACTGAGGTCCATAGTGACTTATAGAATCTAGTATCAGTGTGTCTCCAAGCCCTTGGGCCATTGTTGTTTATAATTAAAATAAAACCTCACCCTTTCCTTTCCTTTGTGGTTTGCTCATGATTTGAGCTTCTTCCAGGATCCAGCAGCTAAAATATTTAAACTAGATCTATTGCTAACAACAAGATTATGCTTTTGTTGTTATTTTTTTATAATACTGTCTACTAAAAATGAACAGTTTCACCATTGACTATAATACATGTATAGTGTAATAAAAATGATATTATTGTACATGTTGTACAGTGTCTATGATAGATTGCTCTATTAGTGAACATGCAGTATTAACAAAAATAATAATAATAATCATTAATTTGTGGGTGATTGATCGAGTGCTATAAAAGCTGATAATAGTCAATAAAAGTCTTCACAACATTGCGTCCAAGTTCCACATCTATTGTGAATAATAATAAAAATAAATAATAATAATAAAATAATTATTCAGTTTTATCATTGCAGTCATTCATATGTACTGTACATGTACATGTATGCATTTATATCCATTCAAAAATGCAAATAAAATAATAATAATTATTAATTATTATTCTTACATCCTTCTTGTGTGTATGGTATATGATCTCCAGTCTCCTTGTCAGTGTAGCAGAAGAATGATACTTCAAGAGTATAACAGTTTGTATGCTCGTGCAAGCAATCCCCAAGATACCTTTAATAGCAATAATAATAGGAGCTATTAATTTTTCTGATACACATACATGTGTACATGTACATGTAAAAATTCATAATCTTACATGTACATGTACATGTATATTGCATAGAAAGTTTGAGGTGATTCCAATCAAAATTGAATTTTTAAAGTTGCTCCAAACTTGGACCAAAGGCCCTGTACTATAGTACAGGGTCATTGGCCAAATTTCATCAAAAATGTCAAAGTGAGAATTTTTTATTTTTATAATTTTTCCTGATACATATACATCTTCTTATATTGTGTAGAAAGTTTGAGCTGATTCCGATCACATTTGGATTTTTCATGAATTTTTAAAGTTGCTCCAAAATCGGACAAAAGTCCCTGTACTATAGTACAGGGTCACCACCCAAATTTCACTAAAAACGACTAGGAAATAATTCTCAATTTTTATTACATTTTCTGATACATATACATGTTCTTATGTTGTGCAGAAAGTTTGAGCTGATTCCGATCAAAACTGAATTTAAAAAAAATTTTTAAAGTTGCTAAAAAACCAGGCCAAACTCCCTGTACTACAGTATGCATGGAAATTGGCTAAAAATTTCAAGGTAAAAATTCTCAATTTTTTATCACAGCTCCTAACACCAGCCAATACAATTCATAATGAAGTATTTGGCTCAGAATTTACATGTACATAATAATGCTAACCTTCTTCCAGTTCCAGCCTTTTCAGCATCTTTATTGAATGAAGTTTTACCCTAATAATTATTATTAATACATAAAATAATATTAATACATGTACTGTACATGTACAACAAAATTATCTTAATAGCACCACTATAATCATAATCACTATAGACTCTATACAGACTATAATATAGAAAAATAAATAAGGTTAGTTTCCCTACCCATGAGAAATCGTGTGCTCTTTGACAGAGTAGCTTTGGATAGACAGCATGGCTCTCAAATCTCTTCTCTTCATCATATACATTACCATACATGAAACCTGCAGCAATAAGATAATAATAATCAACAATTATATAAATATTATATATTACAACCAAGAGTACATGTATACATGTATAAATAATATAATACTAAGAGTACATAATTAATGTATTAAATAATGTATTTAATGTACATTACCGTACATGAAACCTGCAGCAATTAAGATAATAATAATAATCAATAATATTCTCTAAGTTCAGTAATAAAAATAATTACTAATATTTACATGCATAAAATAATTATGCATGTATAAATACATGAAATACTAAGCATACATAATAAATGTACATATTACTCTTGTTTGAATGATAATTCTCACCATTAGTTAGTGTTGAGTGAGCATGAATGTCAACATAAAACTCCAAGTCAGTCTCCTGTGGTTAAAAAATAAATAAATAAAAAAGATTAAATCACAAGATGAATTATGGTCTAAGAGTAGATGCAATATTAATTTAGAATTTAAAAATAGAAACTTCCAGCTAGCAGGCAGTATTCCATAAGACTATGGCCATGGTACCTACATTTGTACATGTACATGTATGCATATACATGTACATGTACATGTATATGCGTGCATGTACATGTATTTACATGTATCTCATAGAAGGAAAGTACAGTATACTCATGCAGTTCATATTAAATTAAGATACTCTTATTGTATTACTTTTTCTTTGTCCAGTCTCATCACTAGTTGTTTTGTTGCATGAAGTGTTGGGTGGGCCCAGGGAGATGGATCATGCCAGTGTCTGTTGAGATCAAAACCCATCAGTGAACAGCGATAGTTTCCCAAGAACACACCATCAGGATTGAGCATAGGAACTGGGAGAGAGAGAGAAAGAGAGAGAGAGAAAGAGAGAGAGAGAAAGAGAGAGGGAGAGAGAGAGAGGGAGAGGGAGGGAGGGAGAAATAACAGAATTAATAAGAAATGAATTATTTCAAAAGACTTACTTATTTTGAAAACCAAGTGCTTCCTTAGCAGTCTTGCTTCTCTCGTATCACTCATAAGGAATCCCATTATACCTAATGTATAATGTATAATACCGTATAGCTGGAAATATTTGCTGGGATTTAATTTTGCTGTTTGCTGTTCATCATAAAAACGCACAATTTAATTCCGCAAAGCATTATAAGTAATGGGTGTATCAACAGTTCATGCCTACACCAGCAAAATTGGTACAAAATCACAAAATATACTTTCCGGAAACTTTTCCAGCTATACAGTATACATGTATACTTATGTTCATTCATAAAGTGCAATAATTATATACCTTCACAGACATATGATGAGGGACTCTCCCCTGGATGAATCCTACCGGTAATCAATATTACTTTAGCCTTGGACCCCAGTTTGAGATTCTCTAAATGAACATTGACAATCATACATGTACATCATAGTCATACAGGTGAAAATACAGCTGAGCTCAAGGCCAAGTTAATACACTTACATTATTTAAACGCTTACAAAACGGTACTGTTACTAGTATGGTCTGTAGTTCAGATTTTAAAGTATACTTTATACGAGATGTTTATACCGTAACATTATAACATGATACACTACATGAGCATAGCATTATACAGTAGAAACGGTAAACTAACGTTAAACTAATGCTAAATGTTCAAGTATTACGTATACAGTAAGTGCTGTGGTACGTACATACTTAATACATACGGGCAAGTTACGGTATGAAATTGCGTATCAAAGTTAACTTGGCCCTGATCTCTGCTGTAGTTATGAAGTTTCTTTTTTGTACAGAATGTCATACCGTATACTGGGAAATTTTCGAGTAGCCAAATTTTTGCGGATTTCGCATTTTCTTGTTCCATCGCGAAAATAAAAATTATGAAATTCTGAATTTACATTGCCACGTGGTGGAGTTTACAAGCTATTCACGAAAATATTATTTCGTGAAATCTTACAAATGCAAAATTCGCGAAAATTAGCGACACGAAAATATCCCAGTATATGGTATTGTGTACTACATTATTGTTATGGCTACATGAATAATAAAAATTACTAATAAATAATGTATGCATATTATTATGCTATGTAACGCTATGATAATACATGTACATGTAATTTGAGTGGATTCCAACAATGTGTTACAAGCCTCAGTAACAAGTAATGAATATCATTATAGTCCGACCCACGATAGCCTTGTAACGTTTTATGCATTTATAAAGAGATCAAGGTAGAACATTAAGAACAACTGGATCGCGTACTTATTTAAAACTGGAATGAAATTTTTGAATGGGCAATTCACTGCAATTGCCCTGCCTTAATAATAATGACAATTATAAGAAAATCATTCATACCTGGAGAGCTTATAGTAATGAGGTCCAGGTTTCTTTGTTGCTGCAATAAATAAAACATAAAATAATAACAATAATAATTAATAATAATAAAAAACAATAATTATTAATAATAGTGCATACTGTATAAGTATTTTTTTCGAGGGTTGCAAATTCCGCAAATTTTGTGGATTCCTCCTTAATTTGCAAAAATAAAATCTGCAAAAATCAATTTAATATGGTACATGGCACACGTAGTACAATTTACGAAATTAAAATCCGCAAATTGGAATTTTAGTAGATTTCGCAAATATAATTCTCTCGAAAAAAAACTTCTTATACAGTATTCTAGGGACTCACCACAGAGTATCCTAATATTTCTCTTTTATAATAGTCCTTCCCTAGTGAGTCAAGCTTCTGTAGGTACTGCTGGAGTTTCGTATAAGTATAAGGATAGCAGTAGGCAAACTATATGAATAAAAAATAAAAAGAAATTGATATAATAGCATTAAAATAAATGTACACATGTACATGTATATAAATACTGTACATGTACATGTTATTGCATGTATAAGAGTCTATTTAAAATAAATAGAAATTAATAATAATAATAGCTTTAAAATAAATGTAAATGTATACTGTATAAATATAATAATAATAAATAGAATAATAATAATAATATTAAAATGAGTGTACATTCTACTGTACTATAAGTATAAGGACAGCAGTAGGCAAACTATAATGAATAAAAAAATAAATAGAAATTGATATAATAGCATTAAAATAAAATGTACATTTTGTATATACATGTACATGTATATGAAATAAATACTATGCATGTACATGTTATTGCATAAGAGTCTATTTAAAAATAAATAGAAACAAATACATGTATATAAATATAATAATAGTAAATAAAATATAATAGTAATATTAAAATGAATGTGAACTCTACATGTACTATAGTGTACTGTACCTGGTAAGTGTCTTCTTCATTGTCAAAAGCAAAAGCAAATGACATCACATAGTTCCTTTGGTGATCAGGTGATCGATAATAGAAGACATTCTTAGGAGGAATCCTACACCTTTAAAAATAACAAAAGTTAATAATAATAGCAAGAATTATTTAATAATTAAGAGAGAAAGAGAGAGATGAGAGAGAGAGAGAGAGGGAGAGAGAGGGGGGAGAGAGAAAGAGGGGGGAGAGAGAGATACCATTCTGGTCTTGAGGTTGATAGAACTAGTGGTGACATTCCTTCTCTGTAGAGGCTCTTTGTCTTACTGAAGTTCACCACATGAAATATAATCCTCTATCATCATATAATAATAAAAATAATAATAATAATAATGATAAATAATAAAAATAATAATAATAATAATGATAAATAATAAAAATAATAATAATAATAATGATAAATAATAATAATAATAATAATAATAATGTACAAGTATTTTAATGGTACTTGTTGATTCTTTGTGTTGGACACAGTAAAGTTAAACCATACTCGAAACCTGGGAAAGTGACAAAATGTGTAAATTTAATTAAAATTATCTACATAGGATTAATGCACTGGGTTCAGCAAAAATAATTAAATGTATTAATGTTAATTTTAAAGCTATCAATAATTTAAATTATGTACATTACAACCGACTACCTTAGAGAGACTTTTAATTGTGGGTACTAAATTTTGCGATTTTAGCACAAGGTAGATTTTGCAGGTATTAAAAATTGCGATTAAGTAATTATTACTAATAGTTATATGGCATCATGATGTCATTATTAATAATTGTGCGTATTAATAATTGCAATTTTTAACCCAAACGCAAAATTCACAATTAATAGTACCAGCATTTAAAAGTAACCTTAAGGTATATTAATGTATTGAGTACCTTGGATTACAGGTATCTGGTCTTACAAAAAGGTCATACTCAAAATGGCTCACATAATCCACACGTCCCAAGTTACCTACAACAACCATCAGGTATTTGTAATAATTATTATTGGTCTCACCTCCTTCAAAACAAGCATCAAAGAGCAAATGGCCTTTATTAATTGGGCCTTTATAGCAGTCTGGGAGAGGAATATAGTGAGAGACGTTGCCCACAAAATCTCCTTTAGATGAGCTTTCCATTTTGTCCATTAGATTTATCTCTCCCTCTGAATCTTCTCTGTCAGAAGATTTCAGAATTCCTGATGAGCAGGCGGCCATTTTGTTTGCGTTGCCAGGGTAACACCACACCTTCTATTATGACGTCATTAAGGCGTGGCTTAAATAAAAATGGCAGCCAAAACAATTGGTTAGCATTTTTGATTTTTGACTCGTGTGTCGTTACTATTAGTGTATCATTCAGTTACTGTTACCTCTTGTTATCTCAGACTATCAACCAGCGGAGAGATGGGGTCATTCCACTGTAAAGGTAGGAGACTACCTGTACATGTGGGGTGGAGACCAGCCTGGCCTCCCTGGAGTTCATAATAATGAAGAGAAGACATCAATATGTTCAGTAATAGAGGTGTGCCACTTAGAGACTGGTAACTGGGAGCAGAAACCCACCACTGGTGACCCTCCGCTGGGTGTTATTTATTATGCAGCTGCTGCCATTGGAAGGGAAATATTTTATTTTGGAGGCTATTGTAATCATGACAGCTGCTGTCATAATAGTTTGTACAGGTAAAGCCTAAATGGCAATGATCTGGCTGACATAATTGTATTATTATTGTGTATTAATTGTATTATTATTATTTT